AAATAAACCCAGAATTACAGCCTCCACATATATTATTGTGCTATATTTACATTGTTAAATCATAGGATTTTTAACCATCATTTGGCTTTTTATTCGTTTAATTTATTCACAAAATACCCCCCCCCCCGCCCCAACTCCATATACCCCTATTCTACACAGGCAAGATAACTAGACAATAGAAAACATGTCCGTTTCCTCTATCTAGATGAAGTGTCTAATACATACATTCAAAAATTAAAATGACGAGATCTTTTTTATCTTGATCATATTGTCGATTTTGTTATATTTTATGCGTTTATTTGTTTGTGGAATGACACCGAATTTGTGTTCCGCTGTCGACAGTTTAAGCTCAAAAAGAAACTAAAATTTTTAATTATTAAACATACCCACTTCCGATTAATATTTCGAAACGAAATGTTTTGATTTTGTCACGTCACTAATCAAGTCCAATTATATACACTACTGTGGATTAAATCCAAGAGGTTTAGCTCCTTTATTTAATTTTTAAAAAAATTTTTTTTCCATGCTTGACCTCTTCATAAACATAATACATTACACACACATGTTAATCGTCCCTTTATTGTTTTTAAGTTCAGGTCAAGTTTTTAATGTGGAAATCAGATAAGGATTATATTTATTGTTTATAGTAATGATAGATCGTATCTACAATAGCATACATTTATTGTTCCGGCAGATGTGTCATGGACCCAAGACCGAGACAAAGAACTGATTTAAGTTGGTGCCAAGCTTGTCACCCCAGTCCCACAAATTAACACGTTATGTTTTATGTGTGGTTTGGAAGGTGTTTGTCATTGTGTTAATTACCGGAAATGGGTTTGTTAGTATAATTTTTACACCTTGTGAGCCAGTAAATCGGATTAGTCACCGTACCATTGTTTCAAGTGATATCAGTGTTTTTGTTTGATCCGCGGTTACTGATATGAAAATAATAAAGATAGTTAATCCACTGATATTTCCTCCTGTAAAACAAAAGACATCTTCATCCGATCCTTGGACGACGCTGAATATAGAGGTTCGGAATGGTGAAGCCAGTTAATCTGCGTTGAGGGAAAATAGAAGTTTGATCATAATGCATACCTTAAAGTTAATGCATGTATTGATATGACATCCGTGTTCAGGAAAAGTAAGAAAGTAAATTAAAACAAGAGAACCTCCGCAAATTCGAACTCGAGCCATCTCTGAGGTTAAACACGCGTTGGATAAGGCTATTACCTATAAATGACGTATTATGAGACGTTTCCTTTCTTTCAAGGTGTTTTTCATAAAGAATTGGATCAAAGTTTGACACTGAGTGGTCTAAAGACATTTTACATAACCAGGAATGTGAAAACAGACTTTAACATTTTTTTACTGGGAGGTGGGAGTTGCTATAACAACATATGTACACAATTAGTCTATGGCCTGTTGACCAAGAGTAAACATATATATTTCTAGAATTATTTCACACAAGTTAAGCATAATATTTGATGGGTTATGTTAGATGTTTAATAGTCGGTTCTCCTTTATAAACATATGGCATGTCTAGCTCCTAAACTTGTGAATAGACCTTTCTGGCCTTAAGCCAGTTCACCATTCCTTCAGATTTCCTTTGCTTTACCACTGACTGGCGTTAGACAGCACAAATCTCCAAAGAACACAGGGATAAGACAGAAAAAAGTCATGGAAATCCGAGAAGTTTGATCTTTGACCACGTTTTCCAGTTTCTTACTTTAATAAATTAGGTCGTGATTTAAATAAAATAAATAGGAAGACGGTGGGTTTGATGTCTTGGCAGAATATTTTTTCTCTTTGACATGTTTTTACACATTTATTTTAAAAAAGAATGTATGTTAACTTTTAAATGAGGTTCTGAAGGACATTTGACTGTGAAATTTTTAACTTACAGAAAGGTTATTATTCGGCATATGTGTAAAATATTTGTTTTAATACATTTCTTTAGAGTTTCACAAGCAGTTCTCCCGAACTCTCCAAATAGCTGACACATTTTGCAACCTTATCGCCCTTTTCTTTCAAGTTGATAACCGAACTCCTTCAAAGCAAGAAAAAGAAATCGATTGTCCTATTTCATATGAAGGTGATAATCTGATAATTTGAGGACTGAATTGACAATTGTTTTAAATCTTTGCCCAAGATTCCAGCAGTCCTCAGACAATGTTTGTATTCCTTTTAGGCCATATTGTTAACACGATATATATTCTCGTAAAATTTGCATTGTACAGCATTAATGGTCAACTTTTATTATTGATTCCTTTCTGATGGGCACAACACAAAATAGATGTTTCTTCATGTATACAATTTTTAAAATAACTTGACAGGCTGTAAGTCAAACTGAGGTAATTTAACTAACGTTATTTTATAAACAAAAGACATGCAGAATCGAGCACTTAATAACAGCTTTTCTCACATACATTAATTAAATTTTGCTGAAATGATGTTTTCTTAGCCAAAAGCTGTATTTTAAGAATATAATATGGAACTTTGTATACTTCTTTTCATGAAACTTCCTAGACCCAATGTGAACCTTTCTATCTTTACATTAAGATCGATATACTTTTCAACAGAAAGGTCGGTTGTATGATAATTGATTGATTGATATCATGTTTTCCACCGAGGGTATGACTAAATCAAAAACCCTTACTTCTAGTTGCTCATATTGATTGATTCAGGGTGTCAGTACAAAAACTACAACTGAAAATAAAACAACATTTCCTGACACCAAGATTGTTTTGGTGATGTAACAAACTGGATATAATGTGACATTCTCTACCCCCTACCCGCATTATTATATGGACCGAAATCTATAGAATGTTATGGGTATCTGTTATGTAATTTGATAACATTTTAGATACACCGGGCCTTATTTATGAAAACTTAAAATAATCCAAAACATCGATTGTAACTTAAAATCTAGATAACGACTGCTGAAGCACAATAACAACTAAGTACTGATTTTTTTAGTTACAATCGATGTTAGTTTTCCTGAAAATGATCTTACGAAAGAATCGCGGATAATTACGTTATATTGTTCACGTTTTTGAATTTGCATTAAGTACACACTCGTGTAAATGTAAGCAATAATGGCTTACAACAATAATGCACGTGACTTTACAGTGATTTTGTTCAATTGGCCATAGCTTCGTATCTGACCAAGCTCTAGTTTTTCACACGCTATCACATCATTGTGTGTAACACATAATTGCAAACGCTAACCACAATAAAATCTTAATTCGGTAATTACCACACAGTACAATCGGAAAATAGGCCGTTTTAGCCGTAGAAATTCGTGTCAGATCACGAGCTCACTGTAAGATAGCATCGAATTGCTAGGGGCGCTAATTTGCCTCTTCACCGGTTCGACTAATTAATTTAAAACATTGCCTGTCGTCTGTAAAGAGAGCGCAGACGGAATAGAACGATACGAAACTGACAAATTAAAACACACAATTGATCTGATGACGTAATAATGTAAACAGAATTCAGCAGAAAATTGCCGACTATTTTATATTGTCTGTTTCTATAAGACTGCAGACAAAATATAGGGAAGGTCCCGACAGTTTATAGCTTATTTACTTTACATTTGTGGGAAACATTTCTTACGTCGTCTTACGTTTATATGCTTCGGAGCATTTTCTGCTAATTGAGATCTTTGATTTTTTTTTCTCACGATCAGAGTATCTACTAAACAACTTTTAGGCCCTAATATAATTTCCTGGATAATATTAGGGATTTCTATATTATTGGATTTAATAAGTAGTTCTGTATATATTTTAAGCCTTATGTTTTACTGTATTTTATCTATGAAGTCTACAGTAATTGTTTGTTATACTATATGTAACAATATATAATGTTAAATGTACGGAGTCTAATTTCTAGTTAAGGGTTTTCTTTTGTATGGATACTACCACCCCCAAGATGTCAGATTTCTAAAACACATTAACCACAGATAGCCTACTATGAAAATGATAAAAATAGTTGCTTTACAAAATATGTATTATACATGTACATGAGACTGTTAATATTAACTATTGGCTGCTTGATCGTTCACACATATATTTCAAAAGTAAAAAATAATATTCACTATTTGAATGTGAAGACTGCATTGTTATTGCGAGTATAAAAAATATTCTTGAAAAATGGGCTGACATGTGCGAAAGGAATAGTTTATTATTAGTACTATATTTGTCTGAGAGAGATGACCAGTTCGGAGCAGAACAGTAGGACGTTAAACCCCATTTCATTTCATTTCATTTCATTTCATTTCCAAGAGAGATCAAGATGGCGGTGTGAAATCAATAGAAACGAATGTAAACCTAGAATGGCCATAACTTAGGTTATGATGAATCAATCTAGGAGAGATCAAGATGGCGGTTATGATGAATCAATCTGAATAATTTTCGGACCAAAATGTTTTCATTTAATAAAAGTACCCTTAATTTTGTATTGTCTTAAGCTCAATATTCAACCTGTATTCTTATTGTGGCTTTAGTGTTCAAAATATATGGGATGGTAACAGTAACACATGTAAGAATTATTATTATATGTAGTGTACAAGCTGTCTTAATTTTATATTATGGTTTTTTAACTTTTCTCACCCACCAATTTATTGGTTTAGTTTATAAATATTTGTTTTTAATGTAATGTAATAAAAAAGAATGAAAAAATATTTTCTTTACATATAATCGTTATAAGCACGGAATGGTTTCAAATTACAATGTCATTTCATTGAACTTTACACATCATTCGATCTAAGCATTTATCTTGCTTCGTTTTATTAGAAGAAATTTTAGATTATTAAAAGGTCTTCACGCGGCACTTCAAAATCAATATGCCCAAGTTTACTATGCAGGATCGAATTTCTGGGGTTATTGATAAAATGAATAATTTAAAATGGTACTTATAGACACAGTAAGATAATCCTAAAACTATTGTTATTAGTGGATTAATCCTTTTATTCTTCGTGTTTTTTAGTCTCTGATAACATATTTCCTTTGGTCAATATACACATTATTGATAAAATAGATTTTCTAGCACAAGACCTCATCCAAAGGCTGAGAAAAGACAAACACATATTATTGTAGTTTCAGTCTATTTTATGACATTATTATGCTATCTTTGGGCGACAATGAGATGCATTAAAGTTTGGTTCTGACATGATATGGAATAACATTTGAGGCAATGCACAAAAAAATAAAGAAAAAAAAATAATATAAAGAATCATTAAAATATGCTTTCAGCATTAATATTAATAATTAATAATGATAATAATCTCATACGCAATGGCAGAATTTCATAACAAACAATAATATTATGCTATAATAATAATATAATAAAAAGTAATAATTATTATGATGTAGGGGACATAATAAATGAAGAAATGGTTTGTTGACATTGATTTATGGGACTACGGTCAAATTGTCTGAAAATCAACACACTTATTATAATGAATAAATCTGTTCAAATAAATTGTACTCTTATTAAAGGCTATGGGAATTGTCACAAGTCTTTTAAATTGATATTTACGCAATTTAAAACTATTAAAATATGTACAGAGACCAAGGCTTGAAATATATTATAAATTTTTGATTAAATTTTAAAGAAAAAAAGAAACAAAGAAAAATAAACAATACCACAACATCAACGGTGTGTAATTTGTTAATTTTAAAGTTCAATCTATTGTCCTTCAATACATAATATTGTTTCTTTTTCACCTGTTTAACAGATATAATGTTCATTATTCACTCTCTATACTTATCTATATAATATATTATTCAATACCATCTGGTATTGATTAAGCTCTATAAACGTTATTATGCTATACAATAGCACGTAATGTATATTATGCTAATATTCAATATGTCCGATGGTAAAAATGTATGGTGTACAAACTAATGTTATGAATAAAGAAGTTCCAAGTACGTTTAAGTCTACACAAAACCACACATAAAACATTTATCCATCCACGAATCTGAGTTAATATTTATATCCACTTCTGAGGCTCTTTTTGCTTATGTCTGTTCTGATATTTAACCGAGTTTCATTCTCAATTTATGACTATCCCAACCTTTCTTCCTTTTTTCTCTGTACAGCCAAATATGTCATGACCGCCGTGACGTAGGCCTCACGTTTCGTTACGTAGTAGGGCTAGGATCGACGACAAATTATTTTAGGGACCAAATGTCGAAGTCAAAAAGCACCATTACACATCTTTAAAGATTATATTAGTATTCCTTTGGTTTCGTTCATTATTTTTTCAATAAAGTTATGTCATTTTATACATATCATAACGGCTGATAGTCGGCTAACATTTGATTTACGTCATGTGAGCCTGCGTGTCCGTTTAGCCCCAGTCCCCCGCCACTCACTATTGGGTGACCCGTCTGTAACATGTTGTATCCTGACGACGGGAGGGCCGAGGCCTTCTCTAAATTGGTGTAAACAGCACTAGGAGAGGAGGCATCAAGTTTCGTCTGACCGTGAATAGAATCGGGACTTCTTTCTTCTTTGATAGTTCCGTCTGGGGGTGAATCGGGCAGTTTGTTCATATTATTAGGATCTCTTGAATCTCTGAAAAAATATAAATACATTGGAAAAATTAAAATAGAGGTTAATTCATTAAATGATAAGATTAATTAAATCATTAGGAAACAGCGTTAATTATGTCCCTACAACACGACTCGAAAGTGATAAATTGTGTTTTTCTCAGGAGAATAATTGAAGCAGACAGAACTCATTTGACAAACTTTCAATGTCATTGATCAAAAAATGGTTGTACATTGCTGAGTTCAAATAATAATTGTTTAAAATTTTAGAATAAACCTGTATTTAATTAATTTTAAAATTGCTTTTATTATTGTCTAAATTTTAAGATTTATACACCCGAAAAGGGGGATTAAACAATAATTTTGGAAAGTCTTATATTTTTTTAGCAATTTAAATAATCAGGGAAATATTAATACGTATCTATCCTAGAATATTCTTAGTTTAATTTATTAACATTATTAAAAATTATTAAAGTTCTTTAAGAAATAACAAAATCGTCAAAAATTTTCTAACTATTGTATTTTAAATTCAATAAATTGATTTATAAATAAGCCCATGTTCAATATTGATTAAGATATATTTAATACGTAAAGCAGTTGGAGAATCGAATATAAAGTAAATATAAGGCGTCGTATCTATAACATTAGTCAGTGTGTATTTGTGTGTGAATAATAATGTTGGTCAAGCCCTGTGTTTCTTGATGTATATTAAGAGTTCGTGATAGAGCAATATAATCACTGATTAATGTTTAAAGTTAAATGTTAAACCAGGATGACCCATTTCTGCTGTACAAATCCGACTTTTCTCTTTATACATCTTGATTATATTTCAAAATGATTGATCACACTACTTCTGATAAGGTACAACTTCATAAATCAAGGCATTTCTCGAGACCTTGGCTTTTTCTCGTTTTTTTTTTAAGAAAAAATCCTAAAATTCAAAAAAAGTTCCATCAAATTATTAAATTTAATTATTTTGTAAAGGATTTTTTTTTTTAACAATTTATAAACAAAATATTTGATTTATTTTTAGCCTGTTATTTTTTTAAATTAAAATTATGGTAATTTGTATTATATTACAAAACTGAAAATCCAAATATTGATATAAACAAAACGAACATAAAAAACATATAAAAAACACCCAAAACGATAACTATGTTTTCTAGTGCATCATTTTTTAATTAATAAATTTTAATGTTAATTAATAAAAGATTGTCATTAAATTGTTGATGTTCCACCGTGAAGGACACAAGATGTTTGGACTTATCATTAATTAAGTACTAATTAAGTAACAAAGTCTTAAGCCAGGGATTAATTACTTTCGTCCGCTAAGTTTCCGCACGTATGTTGCATTAAGTTAAGACCTGTTTTAAATTAACAACAGTTTGTAAAGAACAGCATGGAAATCTATTCAACCCCTGCTAGGTATTAGGAAATAACTGATTAGCATCATTTTTATTTAATTCACGACATCATCATCCCTGCAGGAATTACGTTATATAATAATCTACATGACATTAAGCTAAAGAGATTCCTTTGTTTATTTGCCAAATTATTATTCTTTTATATCAAAACAGATATAAGATATAAATTTGACAAATATTTCACATTTACATAGCAAAATTAATTATGTTTTCAAAGTTGACAAAAATAATGCATACACAATAAATACCAATAACGCCATTTGAACAATATTAATATAAAACTATTATATATACATTAATGACATTTTCATAATTTCTTTGAACATGCTTTTTGCTTTAAAAATTTCACCATATAAAAATGTATTTTTTGTAAAAAAAATTACAAAAAATGGTCACACAAAGACACAAAAGAAAAAAAAATGTCGCCATATTTATAGGTTATTAAGCATCTTCTATAGGGATAATCATATTTTCCACGTGGAAATACTCATTATATTGTCATAAAGATAGTATATGTCGACACTAGTTGTATGAGCAGGTTATTTTATGGGTGTCGGGAGCATCGTTAAAATCTTCAATGACTCTTCTTTAGCATGTATTATAAAAAAATGGTGTTCTTTAAACACACGTGGTTTCAGCCACCAAAACATTTTGTCGGGATATCCAATTTCAAAATATCTCTGACCCAGTTTCTTTCTATTCGTGATAAATATTTATTCACAAAATAAATTAAGGAACAAAGAAAAACACCGATAAAAATGTCCTGTGAGATAATAACTGCTTTCAGACAAATTTATTTAATTGACCCTTAAAATTATTTTCTAAAACAACAGACAGTCAATTTTCGTAATATTCTCATTTTTTAAAAACTAAGTTTGATCAGTAGTTTCTTGTAGATTGTGGATCTTCCATGATAGGTTTTTTTTGACATTTTTCTATGTCAATTGGCAGACAGTATGTCAACAATGATGATAAAGCTAAACCGGAAGTAGAATATAATAGTTTATTATGTTCGGCATGAGTAATATTATACAAAAGTAATATAAACGATATCTTACCTGTCTTTACCATCAGCCGCTCGATCTCGTTGTCGTCTGTTTTTAAACCAGTTACTAACTTGTGTGGTCGTTAGCCCCGTAACCTCCGATAATTCACGCTTTTCCCGGGGTGACGGGTACGGGTTGTGAGTATACCACTCCCTTAAATGTGTTCTGGATTTTTCTCTGAAGCAGTAACTCGTCTCCTCACCATCCCATATTGTCCTTGGTAAAGGAAACTTTCTTCTTATTCGGTACTTTCCCACGGCACCCAAGGGGCGACCACGAAGTTTTTCCGCCTCTATGTAGTGAGCTTTCAGCCAGAGCGCCTGTAGTTTGGGGTGATTATGAGTGGAGAACTGGTTATTTTCCATTATTTTGTAGAGTTCTTTGAAATTGCCCCTGTGAAATGCCACAACACACTTGGCCTTCAACACGCTTTCATTTTTGTGTAAATGTTCACAAGCCGGTAATGACCACAGAAAGCGGGCCAGTCGGTCTATATTTCCACCTTGTTGGAGAACTTCACACACACACGCTACTTGTTCCTGTGTAAATCCAAAGGAGGGTAGCATGGCTGAACTGGAACTGGGGGATCCCACACTCGTCTGGTCATGTAACATTGTGACGTGATTTGGAAAGGGTCTCACGGCTCCGCTATCAGGTCGGAATACTGCAATGACAAGAAGAAGATATATAGAATTACTAAACTCTTCGCTTATTATTATTTCACGCGATCACTTGGCACTGTGGCCTTGTGCTGAACGCTGATTGGCTCAAATTCACGACCCGATGGATATATCGTTATTCACACAATGCCTGTGAAAATCTATCGCTATAGCAACCACGTCAATCATTGTAACCTGATAGGGCGAGAGGCGGCATATATTTGTGCTGCTTCAATGGTGTCCACGTCTTGAAGATTGATCATCACATCCAAGATGATCAATTTTATTTTATAAAAAGACTTAATTCAAAGATTATCAGACAAGATTAAACGAATCCTACTGCGATACAATAAAATGTTTATGGTAAATAATATTTAATGTGCGTTGACATTATTCTTGCACGGCAGGGCAACGCGCCCCCTTGTCGCAAATATTTAACCGTAAATACTTTTTGTCGTAGACACGTCAAAATTTCTTTACAGGTACATTGAGGCGCTTAAAATATACACAATTGTAAAGAGGTATGAACTTGCGAAATAGTATGACACAATACGTATTATAATGACAATGAATAATACATATTTTTAATAGACCGTTCATTCTAGTTTTGTATATTTCTTTAGCTTCTCGTAAATAAAACGATTATGGACATTATCTGTACTGCATATAGGTAATTTATGGACCTAAGAGTTAAATTTCTTCAACAATTCATATCAAAATATCAGTTATTCTTCTTTGTCTATTTAGGTTTTTTTTAACTACTTCTCCATTTTCAGATAATAATCTGCCCCCCCCCCCTTTTTTAGAAAATGGAGTTATTTTGTTTGTTGTCGTTTTTAATGAAAATAATTCAATTGAGTTAACTTAGGCAATCCTTTTAATTTTACAAAGAGTTTTTTTTATTAAATAAATGTGCTCATTTTTATTCTTTAACTTTATTACAAAACTCCATTGAAAGGTGTTAACATAATAAGCATGTAGGTATTTTGTCAATAGCCATTGAGTGGGGAAACTAAGTCAATATTATTATTAAGAACACATGATACAAATTAGTAGTGTCATAAAGGACCATTACTGATACCTGAAGCAAGCGATCAAGTGGCCAGTGACAACAAAAACGTTTACTCGTATACGGAATGAATGCGGGACCAATAGGTCGCCCTGCTGTGTTTTATAACCCATTTTAGAATCTTAAACATGGTCATAAGCTAGATGCGCCGGGGGGCAAAAATGGGCTGGACGTCTAACATAGAAATTCGGGTTTTTCGGTTTGTTTCAGTTTGGTATCTCGATGCCATTGAGCAAATTAATTCTAGTCTGGTCGGCCGGATACCAAAACCGATATAGAAATCCAATGAATAAACCAGAACACACAAAGAAATGAAAAGAAGGCCGATATTAATCATTCAAAATAAGAGCTCATTCCGTTTAGTTTCCCTTTTTTTCTCTCTTTCTCTCTCTCTCTTATCCTTGATGTATCACCTTCTTTCATGTCAGTGTTACTCCTGCACCAAAACTGCTTCTCAAAGACGATTATAGGTTATACGATAGAGAAGAGCAGACGACTTTAACATGCTAGCGGCAATTTCAAGTACCATGAGAAATATTTGAAGGGACAAGGAAAAAATGACGTTAACTGATATTGACACTATCTTAATCGGCCTCCCGGAGAGAGTTTCGTACTCCAGTGATTCTAAGCAAAAATAACTGGTATTGAATAAAAACCTTTTAATACACTAATTTCATATTTGTATGATACCTGATATGATTACACTGGCATTCAGATCCACTGGGGCTTAAAGTCATCATAGCACAAAACGATTTCGCCAATTATTAATCATAAGTTGGGATAATCTGTCGTCAGCAGGCCCCTAGAGACTAGGCTCGAAGAGGATATACCTGTTTAATTATTTACCTCTTGTTCGCTTCAATAATGACGGATTTTTTTGTCTTTATTATTCATTAACTCATTTTCCGTATCGACGCAATCTGTTTATAATTTATGATGGCACTGTTTGCTTATCACCTGCGAGAATTACGACATTACTAATACAAACAAGCAAGCAAGCAATTTTAAACGCGTTTCTTTTTGACACCTAAACTCACAATGTGTAAATAGTGCTTGGTTCTAGGACGTTCTCCGCCCCCTGTGTGCTTGCTATATGTGTGGTTATGGGGACAAGTGAAGCAGTTTTCTACACCCTTTCTCCTTCCTCTCCCCCAAAAAGTCCAGAACGTGTATAGAGGAAGGCAAACCACTTGGTTTGCTTGTAGTCTTTTGTCTGGTCTCTTTACTTTACATGTAGCTTTGTAAATGTTAGTGCATTAGCCATGGACCGCACTTCGCCTCGCGCACCCTTTCGACAAATGGTTATTGTTAAAATGAGTCGAGTCAATATTTTGGAATTCCTCTTTAAGTGGTCGGTTGTAGGAGAGATATAATAGAAATCTGACATAGCGTAACATCACACGTAAATGTCGTAGTCTAATTAACTCGCTTCGTTTACTAAGGCGCTAAAATTTCTAGTTGGGCATGATTTCGCCATAATAATAATACTTCGATAATAAAGCATAGCTTTTACTTTTTACGTCATTATTTGAAAAAAAGAGCATCATTAAAAAATGTCTCAATCATTTATTAGTTGTACAGAATCTCTAATAAATATCAAAGAAATTCGCAATCATTGAAAAGCCACCAGACATATAAACAAGCCAGTGCATGTTCGGTAATGGAAAAGTCTAAGTTTATTTTGAATATGATTTTATTAACAATTAATTGCATTTATTTTCTTTGTGAGTGACAATGCCGCTTTAAATCTTAATAAATATATAAGACTGGGATATATGTTAGTTTGAATTGGAATTTAAAGGAACTGTGCATATCACTTATCAACACATAGTCATGAACACTTGCAAACGAATCAAAGTATTTGATGGAAATAAACCTTATTATATATGATATTAAGCTCCTGTATACAATGAGGTTATATAAGTAATTTATGTATGCCAGGTATCGAATAACTAAAGTCAATACACCCCTATACTCCAAATACACAATACTGCGTCTGATATGGTGTTCATTAATCATACTGTATTTGAAAACAAACACAAAACAGTTATTTAAATAATGAAATAATAAAGTGAAAGACATTAATAAAGTCTGATGTAGGGGGATTGATGCGTAGGGGTTGTCATGTAATTAATAACGTACCAATGATAAGGAAACAGTTACAACTTCGTAATCTCCTAAAACAGTATACACGAATAATATAAAACGAAATGAACTTAAATGGGGTTTAAAGTACTTTTCTGCACCGAACGTGCTAATGAAGACGGATATATGCCATGAAGGAAAGTCTGCTCGGACAGCGATGTTGCCCTAATATAATTTCCATCGAATTCAAACTATCATATGTTTTTTACTTGACGTCAAGGTGTACATGGGACTTCGGTTTTTCGTCACATCCGAACGACTAGACGTTATTCCTTGCCATCTCCTCCTTTCTGCATCACTGTCAAGAGGTAACTACGCTGGCAAACCCCGAGGAACTTTCTCGGCCAAAACCGGGGTCGAACCTGGGACTGCCTGGTTAGTGAGTCAGCGCCTTAATCACTAATCACATTACATATATTAATACGTTAAATGGAAATAACCAATCAACAAAAGGTGAACACCCTCGTAGATAACTTAAACATAACAATTCACACCATTGACAATCACCAATATGCATGGCATCCCTAGAATACACACGGATTCATCGTAATATACACCCAATAAACAACATCATTGACAAACAACAATACACTTTGACCGTCTACAATACACAAAATGTAAACTCGTCAACCAGACCTATTGTAAGATACACCCCAATCAACGAAGAGTTCAAATCTCTAGATACCTTAATCATATCATTTCACGCCATTGATAATCACCAATACACTTCACCCGCATACAAATATAATATACCCCACCGCCTCCATCGACAAACAGGTAACACTTCAGGATAGCTTAAACATAACAATTCACACCATTGACAATAACCCAACAGTCTTTCTACGATAGGGGTTCACGTGGCTAAGTGGGTAAGACGCTAGCTCGCTAGCCTGGAGGTCGGGTGTTCGATCCCTGCATTGGCCGAGAAAGTTCATCCAGATTTTCCGGCGTGGTTCTCCCTTGTCAGTGATGCAGGAAGGAGGGGCTGACAAGGAAAGCTGTCTAGTCGTTCGGATGGGGCGAAAAACCGAGGTCCCGTGTACACATTGGCGTGCACGTAAAAGATCCCTTGGCAGTTGGAATTCGATATAAGAGTAGGCCGTAGTGCCGCTGTCTGGGCAAAATTTCCCTCATAGCACACTGTATGGCGTATGCCCGTCTTCATTAGCCCAGGTTAGGAGCAGAACAGTAGGACGTTAAACCCCATTTCATTTCATTTCATTTCTTTCTACGATATACATAATGATACAGTCAACAACATCCCAATAACAATTAACACATCTAGAAATCACTAATACACATCACCTGCCTACTACGATATACAAAAATGTTTGTACACGTGAAATATTCTTGACTGAATAGGGAGCGCTTTATGTATATGTTGATAAACTTTATGGTGAACGAATGTGGAAAAAGTAAGAGGCTTAAATATACAACAGTTTCCGAGATAAAAAAAAGAAAAAAAACACGGGGAAAAAAACCCCATGGGCAGAGGATAATCCGAGAATTTACTTAGACTTCGATATTTATGATAAATGGTCAGCGATTAAAGACAACATCATCTTTTATATGGAATGAATTCTCTTCAAGCTTCGCAAAGCCAAATCACGTGACACAAACATGACTTATTTTAATAGATTTTTTTATAGATTGGGGTATTTCCTCGCGAATACAATGTTTTGAGAGGGATTTGAAGCAAATTTTTGATTGATTAATTAGTTTTAATGTTTTTTAGTCCAAAGGTATCTTTAAGTTTTAAATCAATGGTAAGAGCCAGAATCTGGAAGTTTC